CCAGCTGACTTGAAGGTGTCCAGCCTCTCAAAGTGTTCCTTCACGAGGTCAACATTGATGGAGGCAGGGAATCCCCCTCACCCAGGTCTCCCTGTCCCACAATGGGCAGCGGCTTTCCAAGGGACTGATGAAAGACCAACGCGAAGTACCCATTTAATAGGTTGGCTTTTTCCTGGTTGTCAGTTGTCAGTTAACCCATCTGGTTTAGCAGGGGTCCAATTTTGCCCTTGCTTTTCCTCCAGCTCCCCACATATCTAAAAAAGGACTTTTTATTGCCCTTGATACTTGTAGCTAGTTGGAGTCCTTAATTAAACCATCCCAGCCAAGTGTCTATTTTACCTGCTCTTGAAAAATTCTAAGGATGGATATTCCAGTTTCTCTATGCTTGACCACCCTTATAGTCAGAAAGCTCCTTCAGCTTAAACTTCCCCTGAAAAAAGTTGAGGCCATTGCTCCTAGTTCTGCTCCCTACCAAAAAAAGGCTATTTCTATCTTCTCTGTAATTGTCCTTTGGATATTTGAAGACTGTTATCAAATCCTCCTTCAGCCTTCTCACTAAATAACCCTAATTCTTTCAGTCAAAGAATGTAGTTATTTTCCTGTTGACTTCAATGGGAACAGACCAGGTCATACACAAATGTTTTGTGCCTAAGTCAAGAGTGCTAAAAGAAACCTAATGGAAATAGTTTTCTGAAATATTCTTCTTCCTTACCAGTACTGTGAAATGTTTCATAGTTTCATAGTGCTTAGGGTCGAAAGGGACCTAAACAGATCATCAGGTCCAACCCGCTGCCCCGGGCAGGAACAAGTGCCAGGGTCATATCACCCCAGGCTCCTCTTGAAGACCCAGAAGGTAGGAGAGAGTACCACCTTCCTTGGGAGTCCATTCCAGAGCCTGGCAGCCCTAACTGGATGGGTTTCAACACTGACAAGTGCAAGGTACTTCACCTGAGGAGGAAGAACCAGTAGCATACCTATAGGCTAGGGAACTCCCTTCTCATCAGTGCAGAGGCAGAAAAGGATCTTGGAGTCATTATTGATGCCAAAATGAACATGGGCCGACAGTGTGGGGAAGCGGTCAGGAAGGCCAACCATACCTTGTCATGCATCCACAGATGCATCTCAAGCAGGTCCAAGGAGGTGAT